TTTTAAACAAAATACTAGCAATAGATTGCAGAACTTATCACAAGAATAATACACTATGACCAGGTAGGATTTATACCAGGAATGCAGGTTGGTTCAATATTAGGAAAACTATCAGCATCATTGAGCATATCAACAAAAAACCAACAGAAACCACATGATCATCTCAATAGATGCAGAAAAAGCTTTTGATAAAATACAACACCCATTCCTATTAAAAAACTAGAAAGCATATGTATAGAGTTTTCCTTAAAATAATAAATAGCATATATCTAAAACCTTCAGCAAGCATTATATGTAATGGGGACAGGCTAGAAGCATTTCCAATAAGATCGGGGTGAAACAAGGATGTCCATTATCACCACTGTTATGCAATATTGTACTGGAAACCTTAGCTTTAGCAATAAGAGAAGAAAAAAAATTGAAGGCATTAGAATAGGCAAAGAAGAAACAAAGCTATCACTCTTTGCAGATGACATGATGATATACTTAGAGAATCCTAGAGAATCAAGTAAAAACTACTTGAAATAATAAACAACTTTAGCAAAGTTGCAGGCTATAAAATAAACCCACATAAATCATCAGCATTTCTATATATTACCAACAAAGCCCAACAGCAAGAGATAGAAATCCCATTTAAACTTACTGTAGACATTATAAAATATTTAGGAGTCTGCCTCCCGAAACAAACCCAGGAACTCTATGAACACAATTACAAAACACTTCTCACACAAAATCAGATCTAAATAATTGGAAAAACATCAGTTGCTCATGGGTAGGCCAAGCTAATATAATAAAAATGACAATCCTACCTAAGCTAATTTACTTATTCAGTGCCATACCAATCAAACTACCAAGAAATTATTTTATAGAGTTAGAAAAAATAATAACAAGATTCATTTGGAAAAACAAAAGGTCCAGAATATCAAAGGAACTAATGAAAAGAAATGCAGGGGAAGGTGGCCTAGCAATTCCAGATCTTAAATTGTATTATAAAGCAGCAATCATCAAAACTGCTTGGTACTGGCTAAGAAATAGGGGGGTGGATCAGCGGAATAGGTTAAATATGCAAGACACAGTAGTCAGTGACTATGATAAACCCAAAGACCCCAGCTTCTGGGATAAGAACCCACTCTTTGAAAAAAACTGCTGGGAAAACTGGAAAAGAGTATGGCAGAAACTAGGCATAGACCCAAATCTCACACCATATACCAAAATAAAGTCAAAATGGGTTCATGACTTAGATATAAAGGCTGATACATAAGTAAACTGGGAGAACAAGGAATAGTTTACCTATCAGATCTATGGAGAACAGAAGAATTCATGACCAAACAGGAGATAGAGAACATTATGAAAAGCAAAATGGATAATTTTGATTACATTAAATTGAAAAGTTTTGCACAAACAAAGCCAATGCAACTAAGATTAGAAGGAAGGTAGAAAATTGGGAAAGAATTTTTACAACCAGTCTCTCTGATAAAGGCCTCATTTCTAAAATATATAGAGAATTAAGACAAATTTATAAGAACACAAGCCATTCCCCAATTGATAAATGGTCAAAGGATATGAACAGACAGTTCTCAGATGAAGAAATTAAAGCCATCTATAGTCATATGAAAAAATGCTCTAAATCATTATTGATTAGAGAAATGCAAATCAAAACAACTCTGAGGTACCACATCACACCTATCAGATTGGCCAACATGACAAAACAGGAAAATGATAAATGTTGGAGAAGATGTGGGAAAATTGGAACACTAATACATTGTTGGTGGAGTTGTGAAATGATCCAACCATTTTGGAGAACAATTTGGAACTATGCCCAAAGGGCTACAAAAATGTGCATACCCTTTGATCCAGCAATAGCACTTCTAGGGCTATATCCCAAAGAGATCAAACAAATGGGAAAAGGACCCACATGTACAAAAATATTCATAGCTCTTTTTGTGGTGGCAAAGAATTGGAAATTGAGAGGATGCCCATCAATTGGGGAATGGCTGAGCAAGTTGTGGTATATGAATGTAATGGAATACTATTGTGCTATAAGAAATGATGAACAGGCTGACTTCAGAAAAACCTGGAAAGACTTATATGGTCTGATGCTGAGTGAAGTGAGCAGAACCAAGACTTTGTACGCAATAACAGCCACGTTATGCAATGACTAAGATTGTTAAACTGAACCCTTCTCAGCATTAGAAGGATCTAACACATCTCCATAGGCCTCGGGATGGAAAGTGCTGTCCACATCGAAAGAAAGAGCTATGGAGTCGAATTGCTATCACTTATTTTTACCTTCTGTTGAGTTTTGTTTCATCTTTCTGATGGTTCCTCCTATTGGTTTAAATTTTTACTTACAACTTCACTAATGTGAAAATATGTTTAATGGGTATGTAAATGTAAAGCCATATCAGATTGTGCACCGTCTTGGGGAGGGTGGGGGGAGGAAGGGGGAGAAAAATTTTCAACTCAAAAGCATATGGAAGTGATTGTTAATAAATCAAAATAAATTAATAAAATTTAAAAAAAAATTCAGGGGTGGGAAACCTGTGGCCTCAGGGCCACATGTGGCCTTCTAGGTCCTTGACGTGGCCTTTTGAGTGAGTCTGGGTTTTGCAGAACAAATCCCTTTATTAAGGGGATTTGTTCTGTGAAGTTTGGATTTAGTCGGAGAGCTGCACTTGAGGCCCTGGACGGCCACGTGTGGCCTTGGGGCTGCAGGTTGTCCACCCCTGATAATTAATCCTGTTTGGATTCACCTCTTTCCTCATGTGAAGAAAAAAAACATTTCTCTTAAACCAACCTGTGTGTGCATATTTGCAGAAGCCTGATCATCAGGGTTAATGTTGCTGGCTCTGCAGCTTAGCTGCAGCAGAATCAAGGCTCTGGGTGTGTGCCCAAGTCCACTGACTGTGCCTAACCACCAGTACTTGTGTGCATGATGAAGCCAAGGAGTGATTCGTCTTCATTCATTTGTTTTCTATAATGAGCATAAACTCCCTGCTACATTTAAATAAAAACCCAATTATATTTCCATTTCAAATAAATAAATAAATAAAGTAAAAGGTCAGTGTTAACTTTCTAGAGACTAAGTGATGAGGTTGGAAGCCAGATTTCAGTGACTTGAGGAATGAAGAAAGGAAGTGGAGGTAATCAGTGTAGGCAGATTTCTCTAAGGGTTTGTCTGAGAAAGGAAGGAGAGAGATAGGTGTGATTTCTCCTTTAAATTGATAGTCTCTTGACAGCTAGATGGCACAGTAGATAGAGCTCCAGCTTTGGAGTCAGGAGGACCTGGGTTCAGACACTTGAAATTTACTAGCTGTGTGACCCTGGGCAAGTTTTTTAACTTGAAAAAAAATTGATAGTCTCTTAAAATACCATTCGTATGATACTTAATGCTACATTGTAATCTGCTTGAGGACAGAGAGTTAAACTTACACATTTGTGTTCCTTTCTCCCCTTTTCCATGTAGTTTCGCAACTTCTGTTATCACTGTTGAAGAGCACCACCATCCTCCCAGTGTTATCCTTAATTCATCTCTTGCACTGACCCCACACATCCCATCCATTCACAGTTCTTTTTGTTCCTACCTTTACAGTATCTCATATATGTCCCCTTCTCTCTTTTCTCACAGGTACCACCCTACTTCAGGCCCTCATCTTTTGTCTTAATGACTATTGCTGTAGCTTTCTATTTGATCTCCCTGCCTTAAGTCTCTCTCCTCCATGCTAGTACCAAACTGTTTTTTCTAAAGTATATTTTACTCACTAAACTCCACTGGCTCCCCCACGATCAAATATAGAGCCCTGTATTTAGCATTTAAAGCCCCTCACACCTGTGCCCCTTCTTCTCCAGTCTTCTCACATTTTTCTTCCCTCGGTGTATTCTATGGTGAGTCAGTACTGGCCTCCCTGATGTTCCTCCCACACATCACTCCATCTCCTCTTATTAAACGTTTGCATTGACTGTCCTCCACATTTCTGTCTCCCTTCCATCTCTTGACATCCTTATCTTCATTGACAAGCGGCTTTTATGGTCCCTTGCCTCCCAGCCACTTGATAAATTTCCCTCTGAGGTTATTTTCCTTCCACTTTATAGCTTATATATATATGTGTGTGTGTATAGATAGATAGATAGATAGATAGATAGATAGATAGATAGATAGATAGATATAAATATATATATATACCTGTTAATTTACATGCCTCCATCAGTAAATAAGCTTCTAGGAAGCAGAGACCATTTCTATGTTTTTGTTCTCTTTTGTAAATGCAGAACTTAGCATAGAACCTGGTAGGTTACAAGGACTTAATAAGTAATATTTGACTGATTGGCAGTCTAACAAAGGGATGTTGGGGCTTAGTAAAGGGCTTTTTGGTCGGTTTTTTTTGTTTGTTTTTTTTAAAGCTGGAGTCTTCGGTGTGTTTTAAGGCAATTGGGAAGGAACTGGGAGAGGTGGAAGGTTAGGGGGAACAATCTGCTGGAGAAGACTGAAGAAAATGTTGTCACTATCAGAGACTAGAGTAGAGAAGGAAAGAGTTGGGAATAGGGTCAGTGGTTTTTGAGATGAAGAGAGGGGAGCTTGTGGAGCATAGCCTCAGTTTTCACAATAAAGTATTAAACAGCATTTGTTTCTCATGATTGATTATAAAATGTTTGATTTTGCTTCTTTTATAGTATTTTACGTTATCACAGTATGAGCCATTATTGTGTCCTTGTTTTAAAGACTATCTTTGAATAACAGCTTGGTGTAGTCAGTCAAGAGACCGGAAGAACTAGGTTCAAACCACACATGCTGCCCGTTTTCTCTAAGACTTAAAGTTGCAGAGATTTGCAGTGGTAGTTCACTTTACCAGTGAAATTACAGATCTACTCCCTGTCTCTGTCTTTAAATAATATATTTTCTTCTCATATTAGAATAAGTGAACAGCAATATGTATGGGCAAATAAGAAAAGGAGGATATAGGAGCAATTTAAATAATACAGAATGATTCTTACTTTTGCAGGTACTTTGACAGAGATGTTAAATGCATCCGAGATTTCTTCATAAGACGTTTCAATTATGAAAGTGAACTTTATCCAGCCTTTGGAGATATCAGGTTAGTTGTGTGAAATGTTTAGATTTTTTTTAATTGATGTAGCCCTGCTTATGTGATGATTCATTAGCCTCAAACCTTGATACTTTTCGCTAACTGAGGAAAATATTGAACATTGCTGTGGTAGGAGCTCCTACCCCCATGCAGGTTAGGATAATTTTTCCTTAAAAGATACTGAGACCATCCTCAAGATTTGTTTGGCTCCAGAGAATAAGACTTGAAGCTGTTCGCATTCTTCTGGCCACGAGGCGGAGCTCTAGGCATGCTCTGATGTTTGGCTGATCACCTCCAGCAGGGTAGCTGCACTCACTTGAATCGCTCCGAGGTGTCCACAGTGCTTGTCCTTGTATAATATCTTCCTGCTGTGGCCAACCAAATCTCTCTTTGTTAACTGCTGAGTGACCTATAGCGGCATCTCTGCATCAAACCTAAACTACCAGGAGACTGGTATGAGTTGGGCCCAGTCCAGAAGAGTCTTGGGGAAGTTTGGGAAGCTTCACCCACATTAAAGGTGTCATATTTGTGTAAACTATTCATTTATTGGAATTGACAGTGAAGCTGGGCCAGCAGTTATCAATAACTACGATTGTATGTGGATAAAGCCAGCCATCTGTGGCAGCCCTGAAGTAACCTCCCCACACCCCACCCATGAGAGAATCCAAATCAAGGCAAGTTTTTGTTCTTACCCCTGAACTTACCCCTGAACCTCAGAATAATTCTCTCCACATCCTCCATGGAGGGGCCCTGAAGAGCACAGAGCTCAGGCCCCAGGAGAATTTCTCCCACCCTAGTAGAAATGGTTACTGCTTACACAGGGGAGAAATAAAACTAAACTATTAAAAACTTAGTAGGTAATGATCTTTCCTAAAATTTTCTGTAACCTTTTTATTATATTTAGTATATTCCATACTCAATTTATTGTAATTATATAATTATAATAGCTTAAATTTTATAAATCCATATACTTAAAATATGTATACAATATGTTCTTGAGTAATTATAAAACATTGCACTATAAAACTCTCACTTTCTGAATGTACAAGATTTTTGTTGGGAAGTTTTAATGCTTGAAATTGCTGTTTTTACTAGGAAGGAGGACTCTCTTGATGTAGAAATTTCTGCCAGTGGATATACAAAAGAAATGCAGGAAGATGATGAACTACTTCATCCACTAGGTCCTGATGATGAGAGTCTTGAAACAGATGAACGATCTGAATATCCTTCATCACTTGAAGAACTGACAGAGAAGGTAAAGACTTCTGAGTTGGAAAATGGAAGAAACTTCATAGATAAGTCAGATGATGATTGTAAAATGAACTCTTCTGAAGACCTGGTACAAAGGAATACACATGTGCTGTCTGAGGATGAGGATAGTGCACAGTGTTTGGAAATGACTGAATTCAGTCATTCATTAGGAGAAATTCAGGGAGAGATTGTTGAAGGAAAGAAGAGAAGTTGCATGAAGCATTCTGCGACTGATTTTCGAGAAGAGGAAAACAGCACTGAAAATATCACCGAGGGAGAAGATCAACTGCTTCAAGGAGAAGTTCCTCCTGATTGTCAGGAATATGAAGATGAATGCCCTGATCTGGTTAACTTGTCAGCATTAAACAAAGAACTCAGGCCTTTCAGGTATGGATTTCTATTGATTGGACCATGCCTTTAATCTTTGCTTCAATACTTTCTCTTGATTCTCATAAATGATCATCTTTCAAAAAGCCTGACATGTTGCCCTTGTGTAAAATGGAAACGTAATGTGTAATTTTTTGTCTTTAAAGCCCCAAATTTTATTCCTTTACACTTGCTCTCTTGATCCAAGGCAGCCTATTGATTGCTTTTAAGTAAATGTTTTATTAGACTTCTGTTAATGGTAATGCATAATGGTAACTTCTAAAGAATTTGCAGGTGCTCTTGAACAGTCATTAGTTGCAAGCTATTGAAAGAAAAAGGTTTTGTGTTCGCTTTTTCTTTTTCTTATTACATATGTCTACATTGTGCTTCTTTTGTAAATACTGATGCTTATTCATCTAGTCTCTGTCACAGATTTGGGACCAGAGTGTATCTGCCTCCAGAACGGTGGAAGGATGAAGTATCAGTTGGGAAGGAGGACGAGGAAAGGGGAAAGAAAAAAAGAGAAAGAGTGGGGGGGGGGCACATTATTATAGATTTATATGTGTGTTTATATTTCAAAAAATAAATTCTAGGGATATAACCTCTGTTTGAAGCAATGTGACATAGTGACTAAATAAATTCCCTCCATCCAGATAGGAAAATAATGACTATTAGGAATTAATGCTTCATAAATATCACAGCTTTGATCTGTAGAAATGGATGGTTTGGCAGAGGAATCCCTTAAATTGCGATTTTTCTAACACTACAAACTGTAGGCTCAGCTTCCTTGAGCTCTGTGTTAAGTGAAGGAGAAGACTGCGCCAGTAGTAGATTTTTATAGATCATTCAATAGTTTCATTGAATGGAAAAATAATTTAATTAAAAGAATCAAGGAAGAAGTAGAAGGTTTAGAGGATGTAAAGAATATCTATTATTTATTTATTTGATCAAATCATTAGTACTTCCAATGACATACATCATTGATTTATAGAGATTTTAACAAGTAGATGCCTTCATATGCTTTTCATGAAAAGATGTGTCAGAGTGCCAGGTGAGATTTTAAATTTACAAAATCAGAAAGTAGAGTCTTAATTTCAGTACTTCAACTTTTCCTACATAGTAATATGTCTTTAGTTTGATAGATTCTGAAGTAACAAAGCCAAAACAGAGATATTTTATGTCTCTTATCTGTGGAGCATTTAAGCTGTTGACTAGAATCTTAAAGTATTGTTAGAAACACTTAGATGGTGATTTTAGGTTTTCATGTGCTGAATTATACTATAATAATTGTACATTAAAGTTAAATTATTGCTTGATACAGTAACATTTGCTTTCTGTTTTAGGGATGAAAACATGGAACAAATTAATCACCATAGAACAAGAACTGAGAGTGTTACTTCTGTAGGCAGTATTGTAAGCTGTTCCACGATTCCTCCGGTAAGTAATTTTAAATGTTTGCTAATTACCTACAGTGGACATGATAATGTGCTAAGTGCTCCTGAGAGTGTAGAGTTGTATAAAATATGGTCTCTATGCTCATTTTATAATCTAGCTGAGAGATTAAGATACCTACAATATAAATAACTTTATTATTAACAGTAACGTGTTAACACCTTAACACCTGTATAAAAAGTTATGGTTTTTTGCACTTTTACAGAAATTTCATTTATTCCTTAATAACATGAGAGGCAAAGCAGTTATTTTTCCCATTTACAGATAAAGAAATTTAGATTTCAGAGAAGTTGTGTGTTTCTTCCATTCCCCTTTTTTTCCTTCCCTAGGATCAGAAACCTAAATGCTTTAATTAGTATTTTATTGGTTTTCATGGTTTGAAACAATTAGTAATCACATAGTCTCAATTCTATGTGATACAGTGTGATACAGAACAGAAGTACTAGATTTGGAGTCAGGAAAGAGCTGAGCTTGAATCCACCTCTGACACAGGTCTCTTAATCTTCCTAAGCCTCAGTTTCCTCATCTGGTTGCTGTCCATTTGCAGCATTTTAAAAAAACCAGACCGATGTGCTAATGGATAAACAAATATAAATACCAAACAAATAGTACAAAAAAAATACATTGCGTTTCTGCAAATACAGAACTAGAGTCAAAATTATAGAGAATGTAGAATAATACTGTCTCACAGGGTTTTGTTGAAAGGATCAGTTGAGATACTGTGTTCTGAAGGGTTTTATAGAGAAAAGGAAGTCATCCAAATAGTGTGAGCCAAAATAGATGGGCTGGTAAAGTGACAGTGAATAGCCCTGTATTACCCTAGTATCCTCTCAGTGTGGAGAGGAATTCAAAAGTTGCCTCAAAACGTTCAGTGGATCTCCTTGACAGATTTATAGGAAGACATAGACTAGACTCACACCAGATTGGCAGGCATGAATAGGTTACAGGCTTCATTCTTAGAAGGAGCCATTCATATTGGTGATAACATAGGATTCATTTGTACATAAATAGCATCTATTATTCAGTACACAGAATTGGGGACAATTTTATTTCATGCTCTATAATTTTCATTGAACTAATTTTGTAATTGAACTAATTTTTCACTTTTAAAATATGAGGAGGAAATTTAAAGTATTTTATGAAAAGGTTTTAAAAGTTGTACTTGCCCTGAACTTTGATTCTGGCCTGTTATTTGTGGAAAGGCAATGTAATTTTCCTGTGACATTTGTTAGATATTTTAAATTTGATTATCCATCAGTACATCTATCTAGGGGTTTAAAAATGCAAATGGACACGAAGCTTGGCCTAGAAATAAACAAGGGAGAGAAAAGTCAGTTGGATTGCTCTTTGGGAAATTACACAGTGCATTTAATGACCTGAGACTTCTCTGAAACAAAGGCCTATCTTTTTAATGCCAATATTCTTATGGTGATATATGGCTTCAAGTCATGGAATTCTATAGACGTTCAGGATATGAGCAGACAGGCTGTGACAAGTCACACAGGCAAAGTGGTGCAAAGAATGTCAGAAATATATGAGTAGAAAACAATGAATAGGTTATATTATTGCGTAAGTTAAAGAATAGTTGATGGACACATGATTCACTGATAGTCACAATATATGAAAAGATCCCCAGTCCAATCAGTTCTTTGGGTAGACCCCCTTTATCAGATTTCTGAGTGGACATGGATAAGTCACACAGAACGTGTAGGCATGGTAGATTCTCAGTCTACATCGTTGGAAGGGACAGCATATGTCAATGAGGTCATATTCATTGGAGCATATATGTATAGCATTTTTAACATTTACAAAATACATTACATTTATTATATCATTTGATCTTTCCAGTATTCTTATGAGGTAGATGCTACAATATTACTGTGTCCATAATGAAATATATTGAAAGGTTAATAAGAACTTTCATAACTGTGGTTATGCAGCTGGTTTGAGTAAGGAGTCAAACCCAGTTCTGTCCTCACTCTGAGTCAGTGTTCTTTCCTTTACCTTTCCCCTACCTGCCTTCCCACTACCTGTTTTAAAATTTAGCTTTCAACCAGATTCTCAGATGTGCCATATAGGACTCAGTCTTCTATTATAAAGCAAAAGACAATAGCAAAATTGCTGACTTAATAGATTCTTCAGGTTTATTTAGTCTGGCCTGTTTAAAATGATCTAAATTTTGTGAAACCTATCATACCTATATAGGGGGTAAGGGTAGCAATAGCTCCTCCAACCAGGGATAAAATGCTCTAGATATGGAAAATCAGGTTCACAAACAATGCAGTGATCCTTCTAGTCATTGTATCTCTTAATATTATTTTCTAATAATCCAATTCTATGTGTATTTATTAATTCAGTGTAGCAAACATTTTTTAACCACCTATTATGTATAGGGCACAGCCAGCCATTATGGAAGATACAAAGGTGAAATAAGTTACTGCAATAAATTCAGAATTCAGTTAAATTCAGTAGACTAGAATGTCTTGCCTGACACCAGGGGCAAAAGAGAAAATATAGATTGTCCTGTCCTTCTGAAGTAGATTTTAAATTCCTTAGGACTTTAGAAAAAGGGAGAAAATTCTATTGATATGTTCCCATTGGGCTTATTTTGTGTAATTGAAATAAATAACTGAATAAGACTTAAAGTAAGTTGAGCTAATTTTGGTTTTTCTTACCACAAGAAAGCATTCTATATCTTCTCCAAATTATTTATGGCTTTTTTATGTATTCCTGCTATCAGAACAGGAAATTTCTGAAGTAAATAAGGAAATTGTTTTATGTAGTTTGACCAAATGGCAAGTACCTTTAAAAACAGCATAATTGCCAATAGTGTGCTATAAATATTTTATAGGTCAGTAGGAAACATGTCTATTTTTTCCCCCTATAATGAACAGTAGGTGGCAGTGTTTCATCGAATTAGGAAAGCTGGAACAGTTTTTTTTTTCTTTTTTGAAAAACCAGTGTTTTTGTTAAGAATCTGTCATTGACAGTTTGGATTTTATTGTCTCTTTTTAGTTGTTAGCATTGGTCTGTTGGCCAAGTTTATGTTGATAAGAGTGTAAAATTAGAGCAGGAATTTTTAAGTTTCTGTTCCTGTGACTCTAACCTCTTGCCAAAGATAGCTGTCATTAATGCTAATGATGTGCTACCTCTCATTTTCAGGAACTGGTGAAACAGAAGGTGAAACGTCAGTTGACCAAACAACAAAAAGCTATAGTGAGACGACGGTTACAGAAGGGAGAGGCAAATATTTATACCAAGCAAAGGAGAGAAAACGCCTACAACATTAAGTCAAGCTTAGAAGCAGCTAGTTTTTGGGGATAATTATTGAAACTTTTTTCTAAAAGTGTAGTTTTTAAAATATTGGAGGGAAAGTGTTATCTTGAAGATCCTATTTTTCTGTAATTTTTGGTTATGTAAATGTGTGTATATGTATAGCTGGCCACTCTGCCTTTTCTAATAGGAAACTCTATTTTGAAGTAATTAATTTTTTCAAGAGAACACTTACCAAAAATTTTTGCCAGTTTAATGAATGGTAACTTTCTGAAAGTCATTTGGAGCAATATTACATATACTGAATTGTCATATTTGAGCCTTTGGTAACTAGAGCATTTCAATGCCGTGGAAGTTTGACAAAGAAAATATATTCTAAATACCCAGCTGAAATATGCCCTTAGAGTAATAGAGTCACCGACTCCTCAGAGTTAAATTCATCTCGTCTGAGCTGGACCTTTACAACATCCCCAGCAAGTCATTCATACTTGAAGCCTACAAATAAGTTTTGACATAACCACAAGAACTTCTCAAGTTACTCTGTTTCTTTGAAGTTATTTGCAATTATAAACTTCTATACAAGTGTGACCTAAGAATAAGAGACAATAAAAGTATTATGTGTCTTATGTGTGTGGGACAAGAACCATGTCTGTGTAACTCACATGACTACTACCTACTATTGACTAGATCATCAACACCTAGTTATTGAGTGCATCTGTACAAGGGGCAGCATTGGGCATGTGGTAGCCTAACTGTAAGTGGAAATATCAATCAATAAACACCTACTCCATGCCTGGAACTATGCTAGGCACTGAGGATTACTGAGGGGAGAAATCATTGTGGAATAGGGCTCACCTTTCTCATCACTTGCACCAACAGCTGACCAGCTGCCACCAACATATGGACAGCACAAGAGTCCTGGGAGTGGCAGCATACCCACCCCCTACACCAACAGTCTTCCTGGAATTCTAGCCATTCCCACCAACAGCCACTCACAGGACAGGCAAGCCAGCCTGCTTGAGGCAACAGAGTACGTTAGGAAAGAAACAACCCAGCATGTGCAGACAAGTCAAACCACCACGACCACCTTAACCATCAGCTCCACCTAGACCCCGTAGACACAGCCTAAGAACCTGAAGATTGAGAAAAGAAAGTTATTGTCTCCAGAGTCCTCCGCACTGGCAAATGGTTCAACATCAAAAACTGGTATTTTTATCAGTGGAAGTGACATTTAAAAAGAGACATTACCATCTGTTTTGTTGGGACCTTTCAATCAGACTTGCCACTGAAAACCCTCCCGTATGTGTTAAATGTGTCCACCATTAGAATGTGACCCCTTGAGAGCAGGAACTGTCTTTTCTCTTTGTATCCCTGGAGCTTAACCACAGCTTTGCACATATAAGTACTTCATTCATTTATACAAAGTCCAAGAAAAGAAATAATCCCTGTAAGCAGATGGATAGATGCTAAATTAAATACATTTGATTTTGATGACCTATGTTGCCTTGTAGACAAGGTAGTGGTAGGAGCTGCCAACAAAAAAATCAAAAAATAAAAACCACCAAATGATAGTATCACTTAGTTTTTTAAATTGCTGACATGATAATTTCATGGCAAAATTGTTTAATAGAACCAAAAGAACTTAGTTGTAATCCAGATGAAAGTAATTGTTTTTTAAACTATATAATCCAAAAGAGAAAATAAATGTGATTTCATGCTCAACTGACTTCATTAGTTTAACTGTCCAGACACTCAGTTGACTCAGCTTTGTATGAAGCCCTGTACTAGGCACTGTTGGAAGTTTAGAAATTTAAGTGGAAAACAATTGTTAAAGTTGCTTAAAAATTGAATAGAAGACGTTAAAGAAATGTAAGACATCTAATAACAAATGTAAGACAATGCTGACCAGTTGTATCTTCTGTAAGTACTAATTTTGGTGGGAAATTTGACCCTGTTTTGCTTGGTCATAAAATGTAATTTCTTGGCATTTGAAGTCCAGATTGTCATATGGTACAAAGCGTTACATAGGCCCAGGTTACCCTTTAGAAATGATATTCTTGGCTTGAGCCCTATCTAGAGTCCTGAGAAATTCACTTTACTGAATAATGAAAACACACTCAACACCATATTTAAAAAAAACTAGCAACCTAAGGTCAGAATGATAGGATACTGCCCCTCACTGCCAGGTCCTACAGTTCCTAAAAGAAGGCTTCATAGCACTTCTCCTCTCTGTTGCCAGGGATGCCCATGTGAGAATTGCTTGCCTTTCCCCCTTATTTGCATGCTAATCCACGTAAGTTTTATGAGGGCAGGGGTTCAGTCTTCTCTAAAATTTGCGTTTCCCACAGGGCCTAGTGTAGTTCTATGCACATTAGTGTTTTTTGACTGATTACTGAATGTGTGATTTCAGTCATTCCCAGAAAAGCTCCTCTCACTTGTTCCACAATCCACTTGTCCTCTCATCTCATGTTATATGTATAGTCCATGTTTGTTTTTTAATTACTTGCACAGTTTTCCGTCTCTGAAGTCATCATAGCTCTTTCATACTCACTGGACAGTACTTGTCAAGATGGTAGAGTGAGAGGAAGCAAAACAGTCCATCTCACTACTCTAGTCAGGATGGAAAAAGAGAATGAGACAGAAATGACCAAAAAACCCAAGGAGAAACTACAGTAAATGCACGTTGCCAGCACAAGTCCACATAAGCAGACAGAAGCCTGTGGTACTGCGGATGAGATCTAGCCAGGGAATGTTGGGCTGGAACGTGGTACGGGGTCTAGGGTGCCTGGATCCTGTAGCTTCTATTCTGATCTCTCTTGGGACAAAAGCCTGAGGAATAGGACAAAGGTGACAACTATCAGGGCACCTCCTGGGTCAGAGCACCTCTTCACTATTCAGCCCTGTATTTCTCATGTAAACTGCCTGACTGCGTAGAGAGCTGTTCATGGGGTCCTTGAAGAATCTGACAGATTGCCCAGACAATACAGATAAGTACCAAAGAAAGCCTCACCATTCTTTGTAGAAGGGCAGAGCTTATCCTTGACTCAGAAGGCTCAATTCAGGAAGTAAGGCTGGAAAAATGAGTAAAGATAAGAAAACACCGACAATAATATTTTAGAGCCATAGACATAAACCCAGGGGAAAAAAAGGAACTCGTGTATAAGCAAAATGTCAAAATCACAAGTTTGCCAAATGCTCTGAGTTCCTGGAAGAAGTAAGTTTTAAAATGATTGATAATGTAAATGTGAATTCTAGAGAAAGAATTGGAAGAATAAATAAATGGCTTAGTATAAGAGATACAAAACACTCAAGTAAAAGACTGAAAAATAGGCCCAAAAGACAACAAATAGTAAAAACCCAAAATATTTTTAAAACCAGAAAATGTATAATCTAACAAAAACCATTGACCTGGAATATAGGTCAAGAGGAGATAATCTGACTACCTAAAAACCTAAATGATAAAAAAAAAGAATCCTAGATATATTTCAAGAAAATATGAATGAAAATTGCCTATAACTATTAGAAGCAATGGGTGAAATGAAAATTGAATCCACCAATTACCTCCTGAAACCCCAAAATGAAAAATCCCAGGAATGGCATAACCAAAATCCAGGACTTGAAGATTAAAGAAAAACTAAAAGCATTCAGAAGAGTTTAAATAAATACTAAGGAGCCTCAATTGATTAAATAAAAAAAGATGTCTTCCTGATTCTATTCTGGAATAGGAGGGATTTTTTTGTTGTTGGCTAAACTCAGTAAAATCTCTACCCTTTTTACAAAAGTTCCAAGACAAAGGATTCTCTGCTTAGCACTGTCTACATAATTGTAGTTAGGTCACTTCTACATGTTTTGGCCATGTTAAAAATGCTGAGTTTTTTTTTTACACAAGAAACACCTTCACCATGCAGGTGACTCCTGAGCCTCAGAGCAGTCATTATAGTCATCACTACATAGAGGCCTCCAAGTATGTAGTACATCAAACGTTCCTCGTAATAAAATTGGTTCCACGTAAAACCACCTCCTCTAGGTGCGAGAGTTGTCTGGGGACTCTGATTTCATTCATTGCACCATGACTAAGTTCTTAAAGTTCAGATTTGTATGGGGTTTTGACTTTACATTTCTCTGCTGGTGCCACTTAATTGACTTAATAGTAGTTTGAGAATGACTAAAATGTAATGTTTTATTCTAGAAATGACTATTAAAAGCATCAACAAACTTCTTTAATTTTTAAAAGAAATAAAATATTTTGTGTAGCATAATCAAACAATTTATTCTCTGCTGATTTCTATCCAATTGCCATAACTGGAGATAGGTTCTGTTATTTTGAGACATTATCAATCATATATTGATTATATAATTGTATTGTTGTACAGTAGACGTCCATATATCTGAGAAAGGGGCCCCCAGTACATTGGCAAAGGGATCCATGGCACATACATAAAAGAGGTGAAGACCCCCTGGAGTGGGGGAACTCATAGGCCCAAAGCAAATTCTAACTCTGCATTGCAGTCTTTGATGTCCTTGGTCTCCTTAAGAAATAGTCTGCCCTAGAAGCTGCCTCGGGAATGGAGCCCTTTTTCCACTGGTTCCTGTGCCTAGACTTTGATAAATTCTAAAGGTCTCTCCGCCTTAGCAAAAGGAGTTCCACTAAGGCTATTCTAGACTACATTCTGGGGTAGTTTTCTCCCTCAAGCTGTAGATGGCGATAAAGGGCAAGGCAGTCAAGCTTGTCCATTCTCTGAGTCTCTGTTCCAGTCAATACAGCAATTTCCAGCAGACTCCCAACCATAAGGCTTTTCCTCAGATAGGCTTAGCTTTTAGCAGTAGATACAGAACTTGTCTTCCTTTCAGCAGGTGGGGATGGGGGAGGAGGAGGGGAGGGAGTAGGGAGACCAAATCTGGGGGAGGCAGGCAGAAACACAGGCTCAAAACCGGAGGTTCTTAGCTTGTTTTGTGTCATTCCCTTTGGTAGTCTTGTGAAGCCTTTTGGACCCCTTCTCAAAAAAATGTTTATTTCTTTAATTCCAAATTGAAAAGAACGCTAATGCATATGCTTTCCATGGACCCTAAATTGACCCCTGCTCTAAAGTTTTTTCAGTTCTCAGTTTGGCTGATTTTCTGCATGCCATTCACTCATTTGGGCTTAGCTTTTCTGCACTGCCCTTTATCAGCTTCCTCTTTTTCCATCTTCTCTGTTTGCTTTTGTTCCTTCTCCTGTCTCAAGGTAGGTTTCCTTGTGAGAAGTGACTCACTTCTACCTTAGGGTGAGAAACCAAAAATCACATCAGCAGACTCACTACAAATAGGCAATGTAAAATTGTCCCATAACTACCAAAGAGTCCTAGTTATCAGAGTTCTCACCTATCACACTCAAAGTCCTCCTAATAGACATATAAAGGATCTCTTTCTCTGAGGTCTGCTTTAACTCAGGTCTTCCCAGATATGGGACAGTTAGGTGGTGAAGTGGATAGCCCCACAGGGCCTAGAATCAGGAAGACCTGCATTCATAATCCCACCTTAGATACTTACTAGCTGTGTGTCCCTGAGCAAGTCACTTACCTCAGTTTCCTCATCTGCAAAATGAGGTTAATAATAGCATCTACCTCCCAGAGTTGTTGTGAGAATCGAATTAGAGAATTGTAAATCACTTAGCATTGTGCTTGGCATGTAGTAAGCACTTTATAAGTGTTAACTATTATTATTAACTGTCTGTGTTTTCAAATCCCCAAGTACTTTTCTCTAAGGGGCTATTTTCTCCAAGATTCTCTCAAAACTGTTTCTGCCCCTTTCCACAAACAAAGGACAGTACCTTACCTACCTACCATATACAGAGTGCTACATTAGCATAGGGAAGTGCAAGGGTTAAATAAAATGTGAGAATACTGTACTAAGTGCTAGGAAAAGATAAATATTAAAGGAAGGTTCCTGTCCTCATGGAATTTAAGTATCCAGATCAGTAAGAACCAAAAAAGCCAAGAAGAAAAGTTTAGGTTTTGTGGTGTGGAAAACCATTGAAGATTTTAATCAGAGTGTTATGATAAAAACTAAAGTGTAGCCCAGTTCCTCCCTTCCCCCAAACATGAAGCCTATGAAAGTTACCCCAAGTTCAGGGCATGCTTTGATTCAGCATCTGTTCAAAACCACAGTCCCAACCAATGCTTCTCTTTTACTGGACTAACCAGAAATCAGCTTGAAACAAAAGGCACTCAATTAGACATCTAGAGAGAATCTACCATATACGTAGTGGTGTATTTCTCCACCAATTCAAACAGTATCACTTGAAGCGGAATGTTGATAGTCAGGACAAGTTACACTCCTAAAGTGGCTTTCCAGTGGGGACTTCTCTCATTCTGACACAACTGCTTGCGCTTTTCTTTTCTTTTACATGGCATATATGTCTTAGCAATATAATTATTTTAGAATACAAATGATGTTCATTTTAAATCCTGTGCACTTAAATTGTTTCTTTTCCCCAATATATAACTACTCCACTGAGTACCAACAATGGCAACACCAATAATAGTTCTGCCTCATTAAGATAATGGATCAAGATATGGGTAGCAGGTTGATGTAGGGTATTTTCACCATTCCTCTTTGGCAGTGCAGTTCAGTACTTGTTTCAATTCAGAGCAATGCACCACAAAGCAAAAAAAAAGAAAGGAAGGAAGGAAGGAAGAGAGAGAGAGAGAGAGAGAGAGAGAGAGAGAGAGAGAGAGAGAGAG